AATCAAATCAATCAATCGATAGGACCGGTGGGATTTCCCGTCACGTGCTTTCTGCTGACTAAGTCAGAGGACTGATTCTAACGGCACAAAGCCACCTCCCGTATCACAGTCGACCCCACTCCCGTTTTGATTTATGCCCAGCCTTGTACAGCCTTGATAGCATGAAATTGACCATATAATGGGGATGTATTTCTCTATTAATGCTGTCTTCTCCATAGTGTAGAAGGGCATCTCGTGATGCAAATATATCTGCCGATAGGTGGTGCTGCAAATGGCATGCATGGGGGCATGTCGGCTCCGATAAGTCATGTTGTCAGTTGACAAAAATGCTGGAGAACGGATATTTGCGAAGGGTTAAAAACGGATGATATCGAATTTGAAGAAGAATTTGAAGAAGAATTTGAATCACCAAAAGACCTGCTTAATTCCGTACCTATCTCGCAAGAAATGTCGCGGGAAGTCCTCAGGAGCGAGTTGTCGCTCAGACTTCTTCCGAGACTTCTCAAAGAACATGTCGTGGAACGGGCCGTGGCGGGTCTGAAACAACTGTCTCTTCCCAAGGCCGCAGAGAACGCATGAGCCGCAGATCGACCATTCTAGAAGACCGACTAGGTTGCAACAGCAGTCCTCCAGGTGTCGTTGCTCCTTCTCCGGTAGACTCGCGGCGAGCGAGCTGCGGTCATCTGTATCACTCTGTTGACGAAGATACCGGATGTTGTATATTTCTGCTAACACAAGCCTCACCGCATCTTCGTGGTGAACATGAAGTATGTCCTCGATCACGACCTTGTTTTTGCGTTCCGGGGACCCTCTGGGAAGTTGCATAATACCTGCTTCTTCAAGAGCAGGATGAGGCGCCGGCTGGCCTAGCACCAGACCGCCATCTAGCTCGCGGCCTTGTTGCGCGTATTCTAAGCTGAAAGCGAACGTTGTGCTACTCGCTGGCAGTTCGAAACCATCGGGGTGGAAGAACCGATACGCCAGCACATTAGTATCCCGGGAGCCGCCGAATCGAGTACCGGGCCAGACTTTCTTTTCATGACATACGATTGCAAGATCTAAGGGCAGGGCCCAGCTGTGGAATCGGAGGCGCTCGGCCTGGTGAGGGTCCTCTTCTCGGCGTAGAATGGCGTAAGACTCCGAGGAATCGGCATCCCGGGTGGACCAGGTCCACCTCACGCTGGCCAGGATATCACCCACTCCAACGGCGTCGCTGACGAGATAGTATTGACAGTATGTTGATTCCGTAAACTCCATCTTTTCCAAAAGTTCCCAGGGCTCAAAGAGCGCTTCTTCCACAATCTTGTACTGAATTGCCGCATCCTGGCACGGAGCCAGATCGGCCACAAACTCATGATTGTCCTCTCGTGACTCAAGCTGCCCGTTAGTCGAAACCGATATATTCTTTGACAAATAGGCCGCCCGTGTCTCTCTCTCGAAGCGTGCAAGGTTCCTTGTTGGCAAATTCGAAGTATGGCGTCTGGGCTCATTAATAGTCGATTTCTCCTTGACATAGAGCTTTAGCATGGGGCCGTCTGAGCGAGGCGTCGGCGGTTGATCGAGCATGAACCTGTAGATGTCCTGCATCAGATTTCCATCACCGTCGAACCACCGTACGATCTTGCGAATACAAGATAGCACATCTGGTTGAAAATCTGAATCACCATGCAGTTCGCCGAGACCGCGTGCAGCCTGATGGATAAAGCCCAACGGTGGGAGATTATAATCAACCTGAAAAAGCCTTCGCGCGGGGTCTACGTCGGGAACAAGCGATAGCAGCGCATAGATCCTATCGCGGGGGTCCCCGCAATCCGAATCCTCGTATCGAAGCATCTCTTCGACGATAGCAGGACGCGGCGAGCCCTGCCCGTTGGATCCGTCTTCTTGCCCTTTGCTTTCCGGGACTGACTTGCCAGGAGTGTCCGGACGACGCCTCACGCGATCGTCGTTCACGTTGAGCACTCGGTCGACATAAACGTTTCTGGATTTTGTCGATGTTGTCGAAGCAGCTTGCGATGCTGTAATAAGCTTTTCAATGTCATCCCAATTGAAAACATGCTGCGAAGTATATAGGGTAATCTCGGCCGCGAGAATGATTTCTTGCTTGATCCAAATCCGAGAGAAATAATCCGTCTCGCCCAGAGCCCTTAGAGCCGCCAAGGACAACATGGAAGCGTTGGACGGGCGGGCATCCAGGGCCTGCCTAATAAATCGCTCGAACACATAGTCGCTCCGCGGACCCAGGCAGGCTGCAACACGTTTCGCTTGCATATATATGGTGCCCATGAAGGCTACCTGGCTGCTTTTCTCTTTGTTATCGCTTTGGTTTATGCAGATGGAGTCGATCCATAAGGTTACCGTGTTATGGTCGCTTCGCATTTGACGTAGCGCTTGCCAGCAATGCGACCTCACTTGCACGACGTGCCCGTTGACTGTGATGGGGTGTTTCGGCTCCTTGTCGCCCCAGGTGTATGAGATGGCGATGTATTCCGGGACGGCGCGATGCTTGGGGTCGAGGTCGTGGACCGTGAGCTCGAACTTGTCGTTTTGGCCGGGAACTATGCGAAGGAGCCGGATTTGCGCATCAGGCCGCGGGAGCGGCAGTTTACTATAGAGGTCATCCATTCCGAAAGTAATGTCGCGGGTCAAGGACGTCGACGGTCTTGCTGCCAAACACTCGGCAGTTTGACTATTGGAGGAAGAAAGCTGCGGGGCAAAAAAAGTGGCAAGAGGGAAGCAATCGAGGGTTCATGCGTAAGCAACTTCCAAGATTGCTTTTTCGGCCTGTGGCAGTGTATGGGTCCATTAATAATCAACGGCAACTGTTACACAAGGTCTGTCTGGGACCACGGGCCGCAGGCAACACAAGTTCTTCAACGAGTAGAGGCATAAGAATACGTAAGGATTCGTCTAAAATTATAGAAATACTATATAATCCTAGTATTCATATTGCTAAAATCTACAAAATACCTTTTTTATTAATAGATTATATTTTAATATCAAAACAATTATACGAGGGGAAAATCGAAGACCGTGACCTAAAATTGAAAACTGCCGTTGCTAATTCTAATAATGCTCCTCCCACTCCATCACTATTTGCACTACTACTGGTAAGAGCCCCTTCAGATATCAAAGATGAAATCAAAGTTGTGAGCTTGTGATAAAAAAAACTACGCACGTCAAAGATATGAAAACGATATTCTCAAGATTACATCAATAAACAAACTGTTGAACAATGGGAAGAAAATGTATTACCTCCTCCCTCCCAGACGACGGGCTTTACTCTCGAGTAAAATACATATATACTCGATTCGGAAAATTCGATTGCCACCGACTCTACTCACTCTCCTTAACGATCCTCTCCAACGTCTTCACGTACTCGCCTACATCCTGTGCCCCAGTTAATGTGATATCCCTTCTTTTTCCTTCCACGCTAACAACCGGTACACTATCCACTCCATTCCCCTCTGCCTCCCTAATCATATTCTTCACATCCATCAATCCTTCATTCTCATCCTCAATGATCTTTCTCGCATCTCCTTCATCCACACCCGCTTCCTTACAAGCCGCAACCAATGTCTCCTCACTACTAGGATGTCTCTCCTCTTCGAAATACATGCGGTATAAAGCCATGACTATCTTATCTGCTGTTTCTGGTCCGCCACCTTTTACATCTTCTTGTTGGAAGTGCTGGACGACTCGATGCGCATCAATGGTATTCGCAACCGTGCCTCCGAATTTGTAGTTGATTCCAGCGGATTGTCCGTAGGCTGTCATCAACTTGATATACATGTCCATCTTCTCCTCGGAGTCTCCGTAGCGGGATTTCCGATACCAGGCATGTTTATCCTCGCCTTCTTTGCTGGCTCCAGGATATAGTTGATAGGGTGAGAACTTGATGGTGAAGTTAACCTTTGAGGCTGCATCCGTTGAACGGACAATTCTAAGTGCTGTAGGGGTCGTTAGTAAATTGGGAATGCGTGTGTGTGAATCTAAATGTGAGTGCGGGGATGGGGGAAAGAGGAAGTGACGTTGATGAGTATCACGTGAGTGATATCATTTCCTCAATCCATTTTCACACATTTTGGGTGTCAATCCGATCGACTTTTAACGTGGAAGAAAAGCTGCCCAATTCTTACCTTCATCCAATCTACGCAATGGTGCTGCAGTTAGTAATCTGGATTATCCCATACTTTTCAATGATATCTGAATCGGAATATTGAATGCCCTTACCTCTTCTTGGCAAGATAAGTCCTAATCATGACCCAACACGATCAGTCATACTCTTAAACTCGTATTCCATGAATATCACTTGAATAATCATCCACATGATGCAACATGCTGATGATGAACATAACAGATAATGGAAGTGGAAGATAGAAGGGGAAGGAATAAAGAGAAAAGTTCCCGGAGACGACGCACCATGGACAAATGGTATCAAAGGTAAATGTGATTGTAGAATCGTACATGGTGTTGGCGAGGGGAATACGAGGTCTGGAGATCTTTTCGGAGAGATGTGACTGAGGTGTGGATATGTGTGAGAAAGGGAAACGTGGGATATATTGATTGATTTGAGATTTGAGATGTGGATGTATTTGGAATATAAATTGTTATTTAAACTTCTCTGGTAGTGAGTCGTGTATTATAGTTGAAATGAAGGGGGAAATGGAGAGGTGATATCGAATGGGTAGCTCACGCCATTTCTCAGTCTACCTCGGAGTCCAAGAATTACCCCGCAATGAAAGGAGAAAGCAAGTCGACCATAAGCTTCGTGGCTGATACTGTACTACTCGAGTAAGTAAGGTTAACCTTATTGAATTGGCCAACAATATTGATTTCCAGCCACACTACACCGTTATCAATTACTTCCTTCTTCCTCAAGCGAACCGACAATCTTCCTCTGAATATCATCATTTCCAACTTCTCAACTGCACGATCCTGTACATCTCAAATGCAGTACGACCCTGCCAACAAGTTATCGGAATGCCAAGATATATTTCTATCCATCTACGAGTACTAGAGTATTAGATCGACCCGTATAACTGATCTGGTGTGGACTGACTCAATACCCAATCAATGGAATGATGACATTACCAAGAAATATACATACATACCATGCCACTAATGATGATTCATCAGTATAATCCGGTATCTTTTCAACATTTTCTCGTTCTTTCAAGGTAACAAAATCGAGTGATACGAAGAGACAGATAGCCGTCTCACTCAGAATAGCCTCGCGTCTGAAACAAATAGGTACACAAAGCACGAAGCATCTAGCCCTATAATCGGAAGTACCGAATATTGGGTAAAAGGCTGAGTTGTGACTTGTGAGATTTCGATCGTGTTCGGTGACAGCTGATTGTTTGTTTGCCTCGTCTCTGTTTCTCTGTCTTACCTAGCCACACGTTTCTTGGTTTCCTGATTGCTTTTGCTTACAAGTGTTCGATGCATTCATTACATTACCCGCAATCTTTCTGCAGGGGATTAATGGGAGAAACGGGAAAATGCAGGTGTGCCTTCTCTCTTGGTCTCGCTTGAAGTGCAAGTGGATTACGCGGAGAGGTATGGTATTTCCATCTTGGGCAATACACGCCTGCCAATCGATTTGATCAGCAGTCGCCTCTTACCTCCCACGTAATGTACATATAAAACTGGAATCCCCTCTTTCCCCAAAAAGTTCTTATCTCTTCTTGGTATCAACGTATATCTCACCTTCCGCAAGAGATATTACCAAGCAAAGCGCATCGTTTCGTCGCATTAACTCTTTCTACCCATACTGTCGTTAAATTTTCCAAACAAAAACATCTCACTCGTACAATCGTTTTTGTCTACCATCAACACCTACTACTACAATACTCTTGGAATTCCGATACTTACTGGAGGAAACTTTTGGATCTCTGTTATTCAATCCATAACGTACACAGCAAAAAAAAATCAAAAACCATGAAGTCATTCACTACTCTTACTGCAGCTGTGGCTGCTCTCGTGGGTATAACCAGTGCTCAGGTTACCTTGTTAGTTCTTCCTTCAACCTGAGATTGATACTCTCAACCTCCCCCTCGATTATCATGATCAACTTAACTAATATCACTATAGTAACTCAACCACCGGAAGCTTCTCATGCCCTATCGCCAATGGTGCCTATTGCGCAAGTTCATCCCTCGGCGGTCCCATCATCATTCGCTGCACAAACGGCATTGGTCAACCTGGTAACTGTGATGATAATCTCGCGGGTTATTTCCCTTATGGTGTAAACTATTCGCCATGTTGGGAGACTAGTGAGAAGAGTGGTGATGCTGCTTGTTCTAAAAAGTATGTTTTATCTTGTATTCTCATCTGATCTTGTCTCTCATCTCCACTAACGTCCTACCTCATCTCACATTCATCTTATCTCTCACTTCTCCTCTTGCCTTAACCTTTCATCTTATGATCATTCTACTAACCAAATAATAGCTGCATCGTCCAAGGTGACTCCGGAAACTTCAACGGTACATTTACCCTCCCAAACTGCACCCCCATTCCAAATCCATCCTCAACCTCCTCCTCCCTCTCTGCCTCGATAACGGCCATATCAACCGTTTCAAGCACCATTGCCAACCCCTCTACCGCCTTCAATCCAACCCCCACCACCCCAGCAATTTCTCCAGCCACAACCCCATCCTCATCCTCTATCCCCACAATCGCCATCGTCCCATCCGGTCTCGTCACTACACTCGCCTCCGGTATCGCCATTGGAACTGGTGGTTCAGGTTCTGGAGATGGATCAGGCAGTGGATCCGGCGGCGGCGGCTCAGGTGTTCACAACGGCACAAACAGTAATTCCGGAACAAGCGGAAGTGCAACCGCGACACCCGTCGGCCCAAGCAGCACAACCACTGGAACGGGGGCTCCTGAATATACTGGTGCTGCTAATATTCTTAGCGCGGGTTCGCTTGCGGCGCTGGGGGCTGTGTTTGCTTGGTTTTTGTGAGGGGGTGGATGTGTCTTGAGGAAGTTGGGGGGAGTAGGGGGAGTGGCGGGACAGATGAGTGACGGGATGGTGATATAAAGATATGATTGAAACACACACTCCTTATGATGGATGGCGTTATTTATGAAGAAGAAGAGAAAGAAGAAGAGAGCTTTTTGGTCGTATTTTATATACCACTTTTGGAACTTTTGGAGGAAGATGTTTTTGGTGGTATATTTATAATAAGTTATGGCTTATTTTATATACACGTGTGACGAATGAATGGATGGATGGATGGATGATATGTTATGAGTCTATGGGTTGATGACGTTGTTTGTCTAATGATAATTTATATAGAGGGAGTGGAGATGTGGATGAGGGGTGAGGGACAAGGAGTGGATTTTTGGTAATAGGTTATAGGTTATACGATACTTATACTTTCTATGATATATGAGGGATGAGGAATGAAAATGAGAAGCTTTATATTCGAGTTTGAGAAATTTTCTAATGTGAGGATTGTGAATTATAAATCATAATGGATTTTCGAGTGGACGGGCGAGAGATTGGGATGAGATTAGAGGATTAAAGGGCATAGAGAGTGAGAGTGATGAGAGTGAGGAAGATTCCGAGAATGCGAGTGTGAATATGGAGGATTTGGAGGAGTATTCAATTTGGTAGATATTAGATACTACTCGAGTGTATAATTATTGTATTGTTATAGTGTTGTGGTAGTGTTGGTATTTATATAGTATTGTAATAGTACTGAGTATTTATATATATAGTTGGTGTGTAGTGTTTAGTGTTTAGTGTTTGAAGTTTGGATTTAGTATTTAGTAGACTTGGAAAATGAACTGGAGAACTTGAAGGGAGTCAGTCATCTTGAAGGGAAGTCAGTAAATAAGTAGTGCCAGTGGGAAGTTGAGGATTGGATGAATTGAGATGAGATGGGGTAGGGTAGGATGGGATGAGATGGGGTAGGATATAATGAAATAAAGTAAAGGAGAGGGAAGAAGAGAGCTGGTAGCTAGTAGCTAGTAGTACGAGTAATGCTATATATACAGTATAATGTTATATCATTTGTGATATCTACTTTACTCGTAAAGATATCTATTATTATATTATATCATATTCCCAAATATATACTATGAAGATAGATATATTTTTCAATATACTCGAGTACTTACTTTTACTATTACTTACTCGAGTATATATAATCAAGTTTAGATATAGAAAATCCTCGAATAAATACCGAACTTGAAATCCAAATCCAAATCCAAATTCAAGAAACCATAGAAATACATATATTATATCATATCTACTTATACGTCGCGGTAATATATTCAGCTCATTTAATATTATAATTAATCTCACTAGCATCTGAGACTCATCTTCGAGTTCTAATTAATGAAATATATTATATTATATAATTTATACTACTCTCAGGCTACTCTAGAACGAAAAGCTATTAATTAGAAAATAATCTAGTCTACTTGAGTAAAAATATACTACTAGTAGAACGATAATTATAGGAATTTTCTATTTATATTTATATTTATTACTCGAGTATGATTAACAGTAAGTATTATCTACGAGTATATGAAAGCTCTCTCTCTCTCTCTCTCTTACCCTCCAATATCTAGATATCCTATAATCTACTCTGTCCTCCCCTCCCCCCTTCTTTTTCTTTTCCTTCCACCACTTCCAACTCCATCTCTACTCCCCATCTCTACTCCCCCATCCTCACTCCCCATCCTTATTCCTATTCCTACATTTCCTCTTTCCTCTCTTCTCCCTTTGAAACCCCCAAAAATCAAATAAAACCCAAATCCAAAAATCAACCAACGACCAACCAACAACCAATAACCAACCAACAACAACCAACAATCAAATAACCAAACACAGTTGCTTACCACAAATCCCTATACCAATGCGGCTGGACCCAACCTCAGTTAGTTGAGGTAAGACGGTATTCTACTTTTCTAGACTCCCGTACACCAGTCCCCCACTCCCCCTCATTCATCAAAATCAAGAAAAGAAAAAGATTGCGGTTTTGAGAACTTATACTTCAATATGTTCTTTCTACTTCATTTGATCGTAGCTCGCTAAACTCTAATCATCTTCTACCTAGATGTAGAAAAAGTGAGTGTAGTGCAGTGCAGTGAGACCCGCAGTGCGTATGGTATATTTAACTCCTTGACTCCTTGACCCCTTGACCCTCGAACCCCATTCCCCATTCCCATATCCGTCCCGGTCCCTGATGTACCGTATCCCATGCGCTAAAATGACCATCCATCCATCTCAAAATTTCATAAATCATACTATCCACCCATCATCTATTCATTTATTTCTTCTCTTCTCCAACCCCATCCCCATCATCATGTTCCCACCTTCTCTTAACCATCCTAACCCATCTCCTCCTTCTCCATTCTCCCCTCCTCCCCGCTCCATCAACATCACTTGCTTCTTCCCAACTAACTGGCAAACTTTTCTTCGCCCTGAAACTCCCCCCATGACTACTACTCCCCGTATCAATCACCCCTACAAAATCATCCTCTTGTCCTTCATACCTAATATCATAAACCCATCTCTCACCCTCCGTCTCCACCTCTACCCCCGTGATAATCCTCTCTTCAACCCATTCTCTACTCCACAAATCAAGTGCCCATTTCTTCTCGCTCCATTCCCAACCTCTAGGACTCTTAACATCTTCGAAAAATCGACAGCCTATTGGTCGTCCAGTTTCCATCCGCATGCTACTGAAGGGATCATACGGTGAACTACTAAATAACCAATGATCCCATTCGCCTGCTCGGGAAAGCTTTTGTAGTTCGAAGATCTCTACTTCACGGGTTTCGGGAGAGGAATCGAGGATGATGTCATGGGAGATGAAAGTTTGGAGACTGTTTTGGAGGGGTTTTGCGCGCGGTTGTACGATGGTGGTGTGTGTTGTGAGCATTTGGCGTTGGATGGTAGGGTGGCCGAGAGAAGTGATGGTCCAGCCTATGGTGAGGAAGATGAAGCGCCATGGCATGAGATGGGAGGCAATGAACATGAATGCTGCGGTTACGACCAAGAATAGAAAGAGGGTTGATGAGAGAGGCTCGTTGGAGAAGTTTGTAGAGGGGGAAATTATGGCAATAATTTTATCATGGAGACGGGAGAAATCTTCCATGCAATTTTGGAGGTCGCGCATATTTCGAAAGAAATCCTTGGAAAGTTCTTTGACTGGTTTGACGGTGGGAGCTGGGGCTATTGGTGGACCGGTTGTGGAATATGTGAAGGAGTCTGTTGTTATGGTTGTAGGAGGTGCTGGGTGACGAGCCATGAAGGAAGGTATAAGGATGGCGAGGAGGAGAACCACTAGTGGAAGAACGGTAAGGAGGTATGGATCTAGGCAGACGAATGTATATACTGCAAGAAATGAGAGGGTATGCGACCATTGTTTCCAGCTTAGTAGACGTATTACTTTGGCTTGGAAGACAAAAACCACTCCTATTCTTGCATTGAATCTTCGAAAATTATTTGACATGGTCGTGATATTAAAGGCAGGTCTTTCGATGAAGTTTGTGGGGGTAGGATCAGCATCTTTTCGGTTTTCGCTGAGATCCTCGATGGGTATAACTTGTTGTAATAATCTATGTCTGGTCAGTAGAGCCCTGCGATAGCAAACACTGGAATTTATGATTTGTTGACATACTTCTCAAGTAATCTATCTTGTACAGATGCTGACGTTTCCGATGCTTTACCGTGTGCCTTTCGAAAATTATCCTTCAACTGCGACTTATGCCTTTTTAATCGCTCTCTCGTACCCTCTTTTCGAGGGACTTCGTTCGTATCTTCGGCATCGTCATCAAGGTCGTCTGAAGGATCCAATCTTATCACCGGGATAGGATCATCACGATTTGCAAACGCATCTGCCGTATACTCATACATTTTCAAGACTTTGGAGTATCAAACTTCTTCGATAGGAATGAGGAGTCGTATCTGAAGGGGAGTTCCGACGATCTTTATAAAGTTCAATGAGGGGAAGCTATGAATGGAACCATGAGCTCTTGGTGTTTCGTTTTTTGACTGATAATAAGGTTCCAGCCCATATAGATGAATAACATGCTTCGAATTAATTAACCATCGACTTCAGAAAGATTAGCTGGAGTTTATCCAATTCAGTAACTTTTGTCCACGAAGCTCGAAACATCATAGTGTTTGATGTTAACGCGATTAGCGATTAGCGATCGATGAACCTACGAAAAAGAAAAAGGCATGACGTTTTTGCCGCCGACCGCCCGCAATTTGGCTGAAGTTTGACATAAGTTGATTGGTCTGGGCATTTGGAGCGCCTTCTCCCGCAACACACTTACCAAGGAACCCACCCATATCTACTCGTAGTAAATTTAGGTTAATTTGATGTTGAGTGCTTCCGTCTTCTGGGAATTAATTGAGGTTCTCGGATTCAATATATAGTGGTGAAAAAAGAAGAAAGTTGTAGCCAAAGAGATTGTCCAAACGGAAGGGATGTATAATATCGCTAACGCTCCTTTGTGACCGCTTTAGAGTGTACGATCGATGTTTTATTGTTGAGTCAGTTCAGTACCAAACTGTACTTTTCTATAAAAATCAATTTGTAAGTATATCTTCAAGAACAAGTCAGTTTGTCGTTGAAACATAGTTTTAGATCTTTATAAGTTAATCTTCTTATCATTCAGAACATTGTTTCAAAGCATTTTCCTCATGTGTCAGGGGTAGTAAGTAAGTAGGTGAGAAGTTCAACTGGTACCGGCAGCTAGCCAGTGAAAACAGCTTTTAAAATAGGGGTGTAACATCTTGATTGTTGTTGCCATGGTGTACAAAATGAAGCCGAGTAGGGCAGAAACCTCTATGGAGAATAGTCAGAAGTAAGTCTCCATAAGACTGCAGATTGCATATAATACACAATCTTCATAAGATTAGATTCCGTATTCCATATGCCATATTCTTGTATGTACTGTATGTATATACAATATAGTATTGGTACAGCTTCATTTCCAAAAAACCTCTTGAATTAGACAATACCTACCTACCTAGCTAGGTAGATACAAGTATCTATCAACCTTGAACTACTGTACCCCCGTCGAACCATCAATATATATAATATATTTGACCCTTGTAAACAATTGACTCATGGGTTATCCTCATCAATAAACAGATATCATTAGCAAATAATCCTTTCCTCGTAATAATAGAGCATTGAAAGCATTGACGGTGATAATATCGTTGTTATTACCTGGGGACTTTCATACAGTACTCGAGTTAGTCTTTTTCTTGACATCCCATCCTGACATCCTGACCGCTGATATTTATCAGATTTCATTACGGTACTTGTTAGGTAGCTAGCTTGCTGTATTCGGTTTAATTGGTTGTTTAAAGGATCTTCTCGAAACTCATCAAATTTTGATAGGCTCAAAGGGTATCTCGCTACATATCAAATAACCAAAACTTCCATACAAAACCCATACAGAATCTAGATCCACTTTTAGTTTCTATGGGCAACGGGCAATGGAGGAGGAAGAAGAAAAGACCTTGACTTTTTAATAAACCTTATAGTACGCCCTCGAATATTAATTCCTAAAAGGTACAGACGGAAAACAGAAGTCTCTCATCCTATTCGCAGTACCAAAACGGGAACGTACAGGCTTTTATTCAACAAACCCCAAACCCCCCCATCATCACCTCCCTCCCTCACCCCCCCAGTATATTGTTCACAACTTCTACGGCCTCTACTTTCCATACAATTACAATAGTTACCAACCATCCACCGCCTCGCCTCTCATTCACCACTTAAACATAATCCACGAACCTTTTTCCTCGAGATATTCGAAAAGACAGAAGAGAGAAAAAAAAAAGAGGAGACAATCAAATTGACGCGCTTGATTTCTGTGGAGAACAATACTGAGAGACAGACACAGCTTCTTCTTAATTTTACCAGGATACCATTTACAACGGCTTCCCTGTTTACTAGTTATACCCACGACGGTCATTTGAAATGAGATAGTTTATCGACAAACTCGGCCCTTGAACGGACTGAGCTCAAGGAAGAAAAAACCTTTACTCGAGATTAATTCCTGTCGCTGGCTTCCCCCAGCGACTTCAGTTCCTCATCTATGATTCGGGAACAGAGGGCTCCTTCAGGTCCACGACCCGACCTTTCACCTACAAGACTGTAAGAAATCATAATCTTCATGAAGGGAGCCATTCGGGCGCTCGCATTTCACTAATATCTTTCACAGCAGGATTTCTGAAAATTACCCTCCAGGTATAGGCACAGGAGGATCGCGTCTGGTAGCTGGGAAAGAGCCTACACTACCTGCTCCCCCACGAAACAATCATACCTTATTTACATTTGGCGGTCAAAACGAGGATAATTCGGGGTCTTACGATTTTTTACCTTCTCCTAGCTTTGATGACCTTCAAAGTAGCATCTCCAATGAACTACAGCTTACAGCACAATTTCCGACATCAAGTGGGGGAGATACAATGTCGAGAGAGAGACCTTCAATGGGGGAAATCAAAGCATCTGTTAACAATGGCCGAGGGATAGGTCCTGCGCGTGGAGTGTCTGGACCACGCCCAGCAAGAACCTCATCTTTTCAACGTCGGCCGAGTTTGAGCAATCGTCAAGGTAGCATATCTTCAACTACTTCTTCAACTGCATCGGGACATATTGATCCGCCATCTGCTCCTCTTGCCATTCGAACTCGACGAAACCAATATCCCCCGATTTCTGGGAGTGCTGCATCCAATGCGCCTGCTGCTAGAATCCCGCGCAAGTCTGTAGTAGTTGCTGATGCAGATTACTCGAATAAGGCAGGGGCTACACAAAGACGACATCCGAGTCTTGCTCCAAGTACATCATTACAATCCTTGTCCGATGTTGCTGGTGCATCTGCGAGAACGAACAATACAGGAGTCCCGAGTTATATGGATGGAGCAAGAGGTACAACTGCTTCGAGGGCAGCAAAAACTAAATCTTTGCAGCCTCCGATAAAAGGGCAACCGCAAGTTTCTATTCAACCCGGTACACCAGATCACAGTAGATCATCATCACTTGCTGCAAAATCACCAGGCAAGCCCAGTGGGACAGGAATAGGCACAACCACACCATCATCTACAACCTCAAAGCGGATGTCGGTTTTGCCAGGTACTTCTCATGCAAGTGGGCTTGGGGCTAGGACGGTCAGTCCTACGGATACTCGAAGGGCCAAACGTCTATCAACTGCTCATGGAGGTCCAACAGTTGCGCCAGGTACACCGCCAACCCCGCAACCCGACTCATATCCTGCTTTTACTCCTCGGGGATCTTCAAGGTCTCCGTCGATGTTACCTCGAAAGGTCCCTACACCTTCATCATCTCGAAATACACCGGATAGTAATCGTAAGTACAATTCTGCTATTTCAGCTGCTTCAAGTTCAAGCTGTAACACATCTCGAAATACCACAGGTTCTTTGCAACCCCGATTATCATCCCTTGCCCCCACAACATCGAGGCTACCAACACCGAAGTCACGGAATGTTCACAGTTCAGCTGGTAATAATGAAGAAGAAGACGTTCCACCAGTTCCTGCGATACCCAAAGCGTATGAATCTCCCAAAGATTCCCCTGCCGAAACTCCATTCTTCGCCAAGAGAAAATCAAGCATGCCTTTTGATGCTAGTAGCATCAATAGTACTTCAACAAATAGCATTTCTGGTAGGAACTCCGCACGTGAGCCGATTAAGAACGAACGAGAGCCAAAGAGGTCAAGACATGCGCCACCTAGCTCGAATTCAGACCTTGAACAGCAAAAGCAAAATTCTACGCCTGCCAAGAAAAAGAACCTTCAACCACTCCGTCTTCCACCTTTGAATTTATTACCATTGAGTGCTCCCACAGCTGCAAAGGCTACGGCCATATCTAATCCTGAGCCTTTACCAAACGGTGCCATCACACCTCCACCTAAACGGATCAATACAAAAACTCCAAATTCACCCATGACAGCCTCCAAAACCTCATTCTTTTCTCGTCGTACCGAAGATAAATCTGAGCATCGTATGCCTCAAACGCGGAGCAACAGTTCTATACACCACAGACCCACAGAGTCTTCCTCGCAGGTATTTGAAATTAGCGCTGGGACGAAGCCTATACCCATAGTCAACACTCGACCACCGCCTAGAGAACCCTCTCCATATCTTTCCTCGTCTCTCCCCAAAAATAATCCTGGCCACCACCTCATGCCTCGATCAAAAACTAGTGGTGATTTCAATACGATGGATACTTCGATGGAGAATAAACCGGCGAGATTAACTGGACCACGTGCCTTGAAAGTGAACAGATTAGCTAAAAGCGACACTCCTGCGGAATTTTCAAGCCCTGAGGAACCTCCAACACCATCCTCAACAACTTCATTGCGACGAAAGCTGAGTCTTGGCTGGAAACGATCTGGCTCGAAGAACAACGCTAACGCTTCTCATGCGGCAGGCGAGAGAGAGACCAATCATCCTCCTCCTCCACCAAAACATGATAACATGCCACCACCCAGATTACCCGCTTCAGCTACAATGAATAATCTGAGCAGCAACAACAAGGAAATTCCCAGTCCCAGCCCTTCGGTCAAGTCAACCACTACTTATCTTAATTCCAGTAGAAGAAAAAGCTCAGTTTCGAGCCTTAATATGATCAGTGGTCACGACAGAACAAAGAGTGACAGTTGGGGTCTACATCGAAACAGTCCAAAGAAAGAAGCATCCACTGACTCTATATCCTCTGAAAGAAACATTCCAACGGCCACTTCGCGAACCACATCTTCTGTTATGCACAGAATGCTAAATCCAAAGGCTTCTAGTGCTAGCATTAGGCATCAGGACCATTGGACCGCGGACTTGGACAAAGATGATCTTCTGGCGGAAGATGAAATGAAGAAGCTTGGTAACAAACGAAAGGAAACAGAGCAGGCAGCTCGTCAATTGGATGCTTTGACCAAACGTGCTACTCCCAAGGATCGAGCGAATCCTCAACAGGCTCTAAAACTCGTCTCACATCTCAACATTTATGAGAAAGGGGAAATTGTCGATTACAAGGATATCTACTTTTGCGGAACGGCTAGTGCAGCTAAGCATATTGGCCAGCTTCAATCGGATGCCGCCAATTTTGGTTATGATGATGATAGAGGGGATTATCAGATCGCTACTGGAGATCACCTCTCATATCGTTATGAGATCATCGATGTTCTTGGCAAGGGAAGTTTTGGTCAAGTTGTCAGATGTATTGATCACAAGACAGGAGGATTGGTAGCTATCAAGATCATCCGAAACAAGAAGAGGTTCCATCAGCAAGCTTTGGTAGAGGTTAACATCCTCCAAAAGTTACGCGAATGGGTATGTAATTCAAATGGCTTCATCCAGTAACCAGCTAACAGTCATAGGATCCCAAAAACAAGCACAGCATGGTCAACTTTGTTCAAAGCTTCTACTTCCGCGGTCATCTTTGCATCTCTACCGAGCTTTTAGATATGAATCTCTATGAGCTCATTAAATCGAATGCTTTCCGGGGTTTCTCTGTCAAGATCGTTCGACGATTTACAAAACAGATGCTTAGCAGTTTGTTGCTTTTGAAGTCAAAGAAGGTCATTCATTGCGATTTGAAACCAGAAAATATCCTTCTCGCTCATCCCCTCCACTCTGAAATCAAGGTCATCGATTTTGGGTCGAGCTGTTTCGAGAATGAGAAGGTATATACATATATCCAGTCCAGATTTTACCGGTCGCCTGAAGTCATTCTCGGTATGACCTATGGTATGCCAATAGATATGTGGAGTCTTGGATGCATCTTGGCTGAGCTTTTTACTGGTGTACCCATCTTTCCTGGTGAGAATGAGCAAGAACAGCTCGCTTGCATCATGGAAGTTTTCGGTCCACCAGAGAAACATTTGATTGAGAAGAGTACCCGCAAGAAGCTTTTCTTTGATTCTCTTGGAAAACCACGCCTCACTGTATCTTCGAAAGGACGCAGACGTCGACCATCTTCGAGATCTCTTCAACAAACCATAAAGTGTGATGATGAAGTTTTCCTTGACTTCTTGGCTCGTTGTCTCAGGTGGGATCCCGAAAAGCGTTTGAAGCCCGATGAGGCTGTTAGACATGAGTTCATTACTGGCCATAAGCCTACGGCTCTAACTCGTGTCAACACTCGAATTGACTCGCCTATTAAAAGGCATAATACTACCGCCGCAACTTCTTCGAACAGACCTCTCCCTGAACCACCCGCCACGAGTTACAGAAATGGCTCAGCTGTTAGACCTCCCGCTGCCGGAACTAGTCCAAGTAAAGCTCTTCCTCCTAGACGACAATCTAACGCCACAATGTTGACTGGACCTCCTGGGCCGAAACGCACAAGTACTGGAACCGTTGCAGTTGCTAGCAGTAGTTTGCCCCGAGTCACACGAAGTGTAAGTTCAAAACAGGATTTAGCATCAGCGGGGGCAACAGCTGCCATGAGTTTTACGAGAAAGATATAATGTATGAAACGAAAAGTGTTGAACATGAATGCCGGATTCACAACACTCATTTGGGTACATAAGGAGCGGATTATACGAATAGACGGTCTATTATCACTTCACCGCCTTTTTTCTTCTTTTCTTTCGTTTGAAGATGTCCTTTATTGCATAGCAGCGAGGTTGGCCGGAGCATTTTCTTTTCCTTTTATTTCGTCTTGCATTATGCATACCCACAACATACCCGCAACTATACATGCCTCATTCGTTCCAAAGCACAACGCGGATCACAAGTTTACCACTCTAATCGGTGCTTTTTTACTTTTATAAAGGAAGTCTTTTGGCGTTCTTGCGGCAGCAGGGCTGCAGGCTGTGTCGGTCGGGAGTATACTTGTGGGCGCGGCAAGTATTCACTGATACTGCTTCAACACTATTACACTTTAATTTGACGTCTCTCTTTCACGGTTTGTTAACTAGGAGTTTTGGTGTTTTGTTCCCGAAGAAAAGACGGGTGGGGTGGGGGATGAGGAAGATGGGCAGGTGTGGACTGCGAGATGCATTTGGAGAGGGTTCCAGATGGATGTTGCAGCTGGTGGACACTGGAAAGAAGGAAGGGAGCGCGAATTGAATGGAATGGAATGGTATGGAATGGGAAGGAACTGATGAAAAGAATTGAGATGAGTGAGATGACATAAATCATGTATATTAATGTTGGTATTTTTCTTCTTCTTGGGTGTGGCGTGGCGGTTTGTAGACAAGTGCTGCTTTTTATCACATATGCTGGTGGTGGTTAGATGATATGATGGCTGGTTTCATGAATGAATGGATGGCTGGCTTGCTTGCTTGCTTGTCGTCTGGCTTTGTGCTCTTGTTTGTTTGTTTTTGCATTATGTATGAAGTGTTGTCGCTGTTGGATGGGGTGTGCTATGTTGTGCTATTCTATGCTTTGAAGGGTGCTGGGGATGGATGGATGTGTGTGTGTGTGTGTGTGTGTGTGTGTGTGTGTGTGTGTGTGTGTGGCGAGAGAGACACTGGGAGTGGGAGGGGGAGAGCTAGAGCTGGGAAGAGGAGTTTGTATGTGGTACGTGGTACTTGGTGAGAGATGAGAGGTTTGAGGTATGAGGTATGAGGTGCGAGATAAGATATAATGCAAGTAAGCAAGCAAGCAAGCAAGAGTTATAAATTCCTATCTGTGTATATGTATGTTGATTGTGCATGTTGATTGTGATTGTTGATTGTGATTGTGATTGTGGTTGTGATCATGATTATGAGTAATGTTGATATTGATAATATTAAGATATTTTATATTTGTCTGTGTACGAGTAGATATATATATATATGTAATTGTGAGCCTATTTATTGTCTTACTATTATCCTACCTACGTAGGTACATATCCATCCTACTTACACACTTCATTTCATTTATACCTACATCGCATACTTCACATACATTATACATCACATTTGTTATATATATATCATTATATACTCGAGTACATTATACAATTCCCCCTCACCGCCACCCCCCTTCCTTCCTTCCTTCCTTCCTTCCTTCCCCTCATATACCTACATCCTCATATACCTCCTCCTCATACATACTCCACTTCTCTAGCAGGCAGCCCAAAATATACTAACTATACTAGATAGCAAAACACATTACTATTACTATTATATCTAACATTTGCACATTTAAACATTTGCACATTTGCACATTTGCACATCTGAACACATGAATAATAAATAAGTAAAAAATAAACCCTATGTATCTATTACTTCAAGTCAGGGGGAGTAAGGTAAGGTAAGGTAAGTATATAGCTAGCTAGACATCTAACAAAAAACCCAGGAGACGATCAATCTAAAGGGCTCAGAATAGGAAGGAGATTATATTATGGGAAATCCACAAAAAAAGCAATCAAGAGCTACATTATAGAAAAATGGATGGATACCGTATTAACTGGTTAGGAAGGTATTATTTTATAATAGAAAAGTTTATATTTTGGTAAGAAAAAACCATATGCTAATAAAGAGTTAAT